ACAAGAAAGGGCCCAAACATATAGTTCCAGCTACTGCAACTATCTCTCAACCTGTGTCTTCAAAATGGGAAAAAAAATGCTGTAAATTATAAAGAGAGAAAAATGCCAAAGAGCCATAGCCATATCAAAACTTAATGCCCAGCAGACTACTCATGATCATCTAGAACTGAACTGGTTATCTTTGACTTTGAAATATAATAACAAGATCAGTTTGTGAATCGTATAGACAGACAGACAGACAGATAGATACTTGAGTGACCTCCCATCTGAGTGGTTGGTCTGTTAAAGTGGAAAGTCTGTTAAAACATTCCAAACTTTAAAAAGAGGGATTTGAGCATCACCCCAGATTCTTTACTGCCCACTCCCTCCACTCCTGCCACCCACCAATGGTGTCATAAGCTTCCTATATAGATAATACAACTATCCTATGGATAGATAACAGTTTCTGTCATTCCAGGGTTGATCACAATTAGGTCAGTTGTGATAACGACATCTTACCCTTGAGATCTTGGGCCTCGTTCATTTGCTCTCACCTCCAATGATTCTTGTAGTACATGTACGTGGAGAACTTTACAAATACTGATGCCCAAATTTCTTTAGAAGAACTACATCTCAGAACCGCCAAGCATGGTACCCAATGATTTGTTGTTTCTGACTTTCTCATAGGATTGTACTTGTTAGCTGAGGCTGCCAGTGTGCAGACACTACCTTGTATCATCCCTGCATCCTTCCTAATCCATAGTTATGTAGCTCAATATCTAGAACAGTGAATGGGAGCCATGTTAGCCAACTGAGATGCTCCATTTGTTGGAATACAAAACTGAGCATGACTCTTTGGGAATCATACTCTAAAATCTTCTTCCTATTGAACTTTATGGCCTTTCTCTTTGTTTTTAAAAATGCAAACATCCTATTATAATTCAAGTTAAAAAGTTTCGATACAGGGAAAGACAATACAAGATTATTAAATAGACACCTACTGAATGGGAGAAAATATCCACACAATATATAAGTGATAAGAGATTAATATCCAAGATATAGTAAAAAAAAATACAGCTCAATAAAAATCAAATAACTCAGTTAATAAAAGGGGCAGGCACTATGAACAGCAAATTAACCAAAAAGGTTAGCTAGAAGGCCCAAAAGACATGGAAAATGTTCCTTGTCACTTCTAGTAACAGGGATGAAGATTAAAACTACAGAGAGAAACGACCTCACACCCATGAAAATGGGACCATATTAAAAAGACCCCCAACAAGTATTGGAGAGGTCACAGTGAAAAAGGAACTCTGTTACACTGTTGGTGGGAATGTGAATCAACAAACAATTTAGATTTACCTTACAAAACAAATTATGGAAATAGTGTAAGGCCCAGAAAGTTCACTCTTGGGCATAAATCCCCAGAATATGAAGCCGTCTGCAAAAAAGTCCTGATATGCTCAGCAGTATTCTAACAGCATTATTTGTAACAGCTCAGACATAGAAGCAGCCTAAATGCCCATAAACTGAAGATTGGATCACGAAGTTGTGGTATATCCACACTGTGGAACATTATATGCCCAGGAAAAGGAATGAGTGCAGCCACATTCAACAACAATGGGAGGAGTTGAGGGAATTTGTATGACAGAGTAAGTCAGAACGACAGTAACAGCTACTGGGCATGTATGTAGCAAAGAATTTGATAGTGTATAACATTTAAAAACGCTGTTGGATGTTAATAAGCATCCTGAGGGGTCTGGGTTTAAGAGGCATGGCAGAGGGGTAGGGTCAAGGAGGCATAACTGATGGTGGGGGGGGGGTTAAAACAAACCTGTGTGCTGTGGGCTTCATTACCCCAGACTAGAGTCACAGGTACACCGAGGACTTATCCAGAGGCAGGTGCCTAGTCATCTGAGCTATGAAACCCAGTGTGTTGGCATCAAAGCAGCCAATGTCTGCACTAGACCAGAGGTTGTCAAAGAGTCACCCCAGACCAGCCATATCAACATCACCTGAGCGCTTATGGGCTTTTCACCCCAATTTGATACCTATTAAATCATAATGTTCCAGGCTGTGACCCAGATGCATATATGTTAGCAGGTGATCCCAGCACCCCACAAGGTTGAGAAACACTAGACATTCTCCACTATACATTCTCCACTTCCACCTGCTGCCTACTTTTGGAGACTCAATTCAGTGTGGGGTAAGAGAAATAAAAATAAGGAGGTGACTCAGTAGAGATGATGGGGGAGTGGCTGAGAAATTCTTACTCAGCATCTCCCCTTCTCCCATCCCATGGAACTAACAAGGCATTAGCAAAGGAGACTGGTCCCCAGAATGACTGGGTGGGGGGGGCTCTGGTCATGTTTAGTTGCAGGGGTGCATTAACTAAGTTGAATCAATTTCATGGAAGTCCAACTGTTTCAAGGTGTAGGTGAGTAGTTGAAACTTTTAATCAGATTAACGAGAGTTTTAAATGTTTTCTTAACAATGAATATACCAACTGGTTCCTGCAAAATGACTTTTGGGTCTTCAAGGATTGAGCTAACTGCTATTCAGGGAACTGGTTGTCTTGCCTGGTTGGTAGCTGGTTTGCTTTCTTGGATGCTCAGTTGGTTGACGGCCCCATGAACCCTGAGAGCTGTGTCTTGTTGTCCTGTTTCTCTTGCTACATGTCTGGGCACAGCCATTTGGATTGCACAATTAATCAGTGGGAACTAAAAACAAAATGAAAAGGCCACTCTGCGCACACTCAGGTCTGATGGGGATTTATCTCACACAGCCAGAGGAGGAAGAGAGAACGGGAGAGGAAGTAATAAAGAGGGAGGCAGGGGAAAAGGTGGAAAGGAGACAAGATGGATGAGAGAAGAGACAAAGGGGGTAGAACAAAGGAAGGTGAGAAAGGAGGAATAGAGAGTGAAGGATCAATCAGAGCGTTGGGAAAGGAAACTGAGAAGAGGTTGGGAAAAGTGGGGTTATGGCAGGAAAGAATGAAAAGAGGACAGGGAGGAAGAAAATAAAAGCAAGCCCCGAGCACAGGCAGGAGCTGGACAATTTTTGTGAAGTGCCACTTGTAGAGACACGCTGCAGAGATGCTGCCTCCAAGGTTAATGATGGTGGTAATCAGGGTTCCAATTTGCCACAAATGGGATGAAAGGCAGTTGGCCCCCAAATGGAGAGACCTACAGTAATAATGTACCAGGAACACGGGGATGCTGAGAGGCTGGCTTAAGTTCTTTTATATTCAACAACCATTTTGTACCTGATGAAACAATCCAAAGTTACAGAGAAAAAAAGGTTGCTTATTACAAGATCGCTGAATTAGAGCAAAGCCGTTGAGATGATGGCAGGAATGCACTTGTAGCTCCCTTCTGTGATTAGCTTTCCCTTTGCATTTATTTTCTGCAAAGACTTGGATTTTCGCTTCCTCTCCTTCCCCAGCCTGGTTTTCTGTGGCCTGTGCAGCTGCTTCACAGGAAGGGTTGTGCTTTCTGCAGCCTGTAGACTCTCCCAGCATGGACACAGCTAATGACCCTTTAGCCTAATTTTCAAAGTTCCTTTCTGTGTGGAGTAAGCTTCTATTTTTATGAGATCTTCTCTCTTGCCCACCCAGGCTTCTTCCATAACCCTCTGGGGTTAGCAGAGGGCTGCAGTCCAGAGGCCAATGGGGAGACAGCCCAATCAAGAAGAGTGGGGAGGAACAGAAAGGGGACAGAGAGACTCCATGGAGTGAAAGAGAGTAGAAGTTTGTGTGCAACATGGATGATAGATTCCTATAAAAATACCCTGGAAAGTCAATTGGCATGACAGATGCTCTGAGTAATTATCCTGTGGGTACTACTGAAGAGGCTAAGCTTTTGACCTGGTCCTTGTGAGCTTAGACTTGGGGCCTACTTGAGGAGGTCATACTTGGAGATGCTAGAAATAGCGGAAATTTTTGGACACTATAGGCCACAGAATGGAAGGCCTAAGTGGGTGGGATTATTGAGGAATCAAAGTGATTTCATCTGTGTCCCAAGGGGCACTTACATAGCTCCTGTGATTCCTATATATGCCAGAACACAATGTAAGACAGACTATAGCTGCATTTGCAAGAAGCATTTGATAGTCTTAAGGGTGAAATGCTTTTGAATAAATTCATTACTACAAACCCTTCCATATTCTGACTATAAGCTCTGTGGGGACAAGAGCCTATCTTCTCTGGCCTTACAGCATTTAGCTTAGTGCATACCAAGTATCAGGAAGAGAGAGAGAGAGAGAGACAGAGAGAGAGAGAGAGAGAGACACAGAGAGAGAGAGACAGAGAGAGAGATAGCACAAGTATCAGGAAGAGAGAGAGAGCAAGTATCAGGAAGAGAGAGAGAGAGAGAGAGAGAGATAGCGCAAGTATCAGGAAGAGAGAGAGAGCAAGT